CAAGAACGGAAAGAATGAAAGAATTCGGGTTTCCAACATCCAAAAGAAGCCACTTTGAGGTATCTTTTTATAATAGACACTAACTCAAACGTTATCAAATAATAATGAAGATCAAATTCTCAACTCTGAAAAAATGTTAAGTCAATCGTCGCAGCCATTTTGTATGATACAAATTTCATTGAAAAAATAGTTTACAGTGTCGTCGCCAAAGTGAAAGAACTAGTTGAACCGTTAATGGGTATACAAGATGAAAAACTTAGCGAACTTAAAGATCAAATTACTCAATTAGAAGCAAGTCTAACTGATCAAAATTTATTTGTCTCTAAACTTGAAAACAATGTGAAGATATTGAAAGATAAATCAAATCATCTGGAACAGTATGGGCGGCTTGATAATTTACGAATTCATAATGTTCTAGAAATACACGATGAAGATGTGCTCAATATTGTCATGAATTTCGCGACGCAAATGAAAGTCGAATTACATTCACATTCAATATCCGTCTGTCATCGTACTGGACAAGCTAAAAAGATAAACTAAGGCAAATTAACGTTAAATTTTGTGCTCGTTCTGAGCGAAATTCTATCTTGTACGGACACTCATCACTAGGCAGTAGTAATCCTGTGTTCATATCAGAAGACTTAACAAAATTGAATATGGACATGCTGATTAAAGCTAAAAATCGTCTGGCGAGGGAAGGTCTCCAACTGTCCAATCGCTTTTGAGCTGAAACTTAGTGGACAATAGCTAATCGAGGGTGCTGAATCCGAATATCACAATCGTTTGGGATAACGTTGGGTTTTTGAACCGGTTTTCCGAAAAACCAGTTTTTCAAAAACTGTAAAATATAACCAAAACCTTTCTTAATAAGACCTGATTGTAGCCCACAGATTTCTGATTAAAACGAGATATCTCCCAGCTCTACACCACCTTTCTTTGCAAAGTTATAGAATTTACCAGAACAGCCCTAAATCCACTGTCAAAAAAAGTGTCTTGATAAACCACCCGACTGGCTTAAAAATGCTTCCACAGTGCATTTTCTTCTCTTTTTACTGTGAGTCGCCTTAATGTCTTCGAAAAAACACCTCTAAGTCGTGGCTTTTTTCGAAATAAATAGCTTAGGCGCATTAGATAGACATCACTAATATATCAAAAACGCACAATGCACTAGCTACAGTCAAGCTCCTTAATCACCCTTTTGATATGATTTCCATTTATCATTTCTTACAATGCCTTTACCAGCTTTTCATTTGATTCAACATAAATGTTTCATCTTATTCTACTATAATTGAGTCATTTTTAGTTTATTAACCGCCTTATTAT